TCTCTGCCTGCCAGCCCCACCTATCCTTTCTCCTGCCTCGCCATTGGCCGTTCAGCTCTTTATTAGACCATCAGGTGTTTTACACAGGCACAGTAACACAGCTTCACAGAGTTAAACAAATGCAACATAAACACAAGTAACACACCTTAAAATAATATTCCCCAACAGTTATGAGCTGCCATGTGGGTGATAGGAATTGAACACAGGTCCTCTAGGAAAGCAGTCAGTGCTCTTAACCACTAAGCCATCTCTCCAGCCCCAAGGGTTGTTTTTTAAAAATCAATTTTATTTACTTATTTATGTGTGCATGCATACCCCTAGTTGCTGTGGATTTCAGAAGAGATGTCAGATCCTTGGAGCCAGAGTTACAGGTATTTGCACAATTTTCAGTTTGCTACCACAGGTTCTACAGTCCAAACAACAATCCCCATGATTGCACAACAAGGGCTCTTGAAGGCTGACCCAGTCTCTCAAGCCTCAACACTGGTTTTCAATACCATTTCTGTACACGCGTAAACATATGACTGAAAGTGATTAAAGTATCCTAAAATATGTCCATCTCCACCTCTTCATGTTTGCTAAGCACCTATAAGGTTTGAGTCTTCCCACACAAACTCGTGCTTTCTAAGGCACTATCAGTAGTGGTACAGCATCAAAAACACCTGACTGCAGTCTCTAGGGAGTTCATCTAAAGCACTCACCCATTCTGCCAATTGAGCTCCTCCTAGGTATTTTTCAGGCATCTTCTTGTTAGGATTGTTTTCTTTTATTAACGATGTATTTATTTACTTGTTTGTTTGTTTATTTATTTATTTAGTGTACATATGTGTGTCTACATGAATTAATGTGCATCAGATGTATACAGGTAACCCATGGAGGCCGGAAGGTACACTGGAACTGGAGTTACAGGCAATTGTGAGCTGCCTGATGTGGGTGTTGGGAATCAAATTCAAGTCCTCTACAAGATCAAGTGCTCTTAACCACTAAGTCACCTCACTCACCCATCCCAGCCATCTTCTATCTTCTATGTAGCTTGCAGATGAGTGTCTACCCAAAGGCAGTACAAAGCATCTGAAAACCTGACAGCCGAAATCACACCAACAGCCCTTTGCCACAAGCAAATCAGTCATGACCCATTACTGCTTTGAAATCTCTTCCATTACCTGGGCAGGGTGGCTCATGCCTTTAATCCTAGCACTCAGGAGGCAGAGGCAGGTGGATCTCTCTGAGTTCAAGGCCAGCCTGATTATACAGCAAGTGCCAAAACTACACAGAAAGACCCTGTCTCAAAGAAAAGAAATTTCTTCCACTTATTTTAAGGGACATGACATGACTATACGTAACAGGCAATCCCTGATACATGGTTCACTAACAAAAATGTCTCTATCTTTATTAAGTAGATTTAAGTTACACCTTCGTTAAGTATATTCTGCAAAGAACTTATTTTTAATGAAAATATAGAACTACCATCTATCCAATGATGAATACACCTCATTAATACTACATTACACCCTGCTGCACAATAATGGAGTTATTATTCTTAGTGGGCCATGGATGTGTATGTATGTATAAACATACACTCATACACATATAACCAATTATAACGTGCATAAATTTAGGTTTAACTTTATTTTTAACAGTTAGATCACAATTGTTCTTGCAGAAGACCCAGGTTTGGTTCCCAGTACCTATATGGTGGCTCATAACCATCTGTAACTCCAGTTTCAGGAAGTTACTGTCCTCTCCTGGCTTCCAAAAGCACCAGGCATGCATGTGGTACATAGACATACATACAGACAAAACATTCTTTCACATAAAATAAAAATGAACCTTTAAAAGAAAAGGCAAACTTTTCTGAATGTTTGGCTCACTCAAGACTGCAGCATCTAAGAATAGTGCCTTGCACAAAAAACCTACATGTTGAATGAATGAGTATCATTTACAGGTCCTGTTTCAAACAGACCAAAGGCCAATCCTAGCATTTTCTCCTCAAATATCTCATAAGGATAACTCCATTGAACCCTTACCAAAAGGAAGGTATTAAGGAGGCCACAGAACTATTTATGAATTATAATCGTACCCAGGATCTAGGTCCCTAGGAAGGTACATAAAGAGGAGGCCCAATATCTTACTGAGTGGCCCCAGAACAATATGTGACTGATTGTAAGTACAAGAAGACAGCTCACCTCTTTCCACAAGCAGTGAGTTACAGCAGGACTTCGGAGTAAAGTATTTCTATAAACATTTTCTGCTGTTGTCTGGATCTTGAATGTCTCCTAAATCACATGGCTATAGAGCAAGTCCCAAGACTGGGGCTATTGGAGGATGGTAGAACCTTTAGGAGGTGTGACCTCATGAAAGCTCCTTAGGTCATTTAAGGGTTACCCAGGGTGTGCCATTGAAGGCCCCAGTTGCCTCTCCTTCTTCCCCAATTCCTCCTTTCTCTTTTGATTCCTGTATATGAGATGAGTGGTTTCATTCCATCATACACTGTTCCTGCCATGATGTGCTGTAGCTGAAAGTTTTTCTGTGTCCCACCTGGTCCACAGACATTCATACCCAAGTAAACACACAGAGGCTTATATTAATTAAAACTGCTTGTCCATTAGCTCAGGCTAACTACTGACTAGCTCTTACACTTAAACTCAGTCCATTTCTGTTAATTATTTGTAGGACGAATGTTTCTCCAGGTCCCGCCAAGCCCCCACAGTCCCATGGCCTGCTTATTAAATAATCACACAAAGGCTTAATATTATTTATAACTGCTCAGCCATTAGCTCAGGCTAACTACTTACTAGCACTTACACTTAAACTCTGCCCATTTCTGTTAATCTATATGTCAGCATGTGTTCCATGGCTTTACCTGTGTACCATTACATGTTGCTCCCTGGACGGCTGCCTGGCATCTCCTGACTCAGCCTTTCACTTCCCAGAATTCTCCTTATCTGCTTATCCGCCTATACTTCCTGCCTGGCTACTGTCCAATCAGCATTTTATTTATCAACCAATCAGAACAACACATATTCACAGCATACAGAACATCCCACAGCAATGTGCTAATTCACCACAGGGCCAAAGCAATAGAGCCAATTGATCATGTATTGGAATCTCTGAATGAGGTGTTGGTTGGTTGGTTGGTTGGTTGGTTGGTTGGTTGGTTGGTTTTGTTTTCTTTGTTTTTCAAGACAGGGTTTCTCTGTGTAGTTGTCCTGGAATTCACTTTGTAGACCAGGCTGGCCTTGAACTCAAGAGATTCGCCAACCTCTGCTTCGGGTGAATGCTGGGATTAAAGGCATGTACCACTATGCCTAGCTGAATGAATTAAAGTAACATTTCTTCTTTATAAGCTGATTGCTTCTAATATTTTCTTACAACAACAGAAAGCTAACTTGCACATGAACACATGGTACCAACAAGTTTATTTTACCTTTCCCTCAACTATATTTTTTTTACCTTTTCTACTAGGCCAAGAGACCATCTGTCTCCTAGTTCTTATGCAGCCGTGGCTGGCTTAGAACTCACTATGTAGATCAAGCTGGCCTGGAGGGTTTTATCTTCCTCTGTCCTGAGTACTAAGATAAAGGAATGTGCCACCACACCCAGCTTCCTTATTTTTCTTATGACAAAATACTTAACAAAAGCAGCTTAAGGAGAAAGGAAGAGTTTATCTGGCTCATGATTTGATTAGAATGTAAAGCATTGTATTAGAAGGCAGGAAAGGCAGAAGCAATACGTGTGGGCTGTATTGTTTAGTGTCCACTCAGGAAAAAGAAAGAGATTAAATGCTACTGTCCTGCTCCTTCTCACTCAGGGCCCCAGCACTCAGGAGGTAGAGACAAGCAGATCTCTGTGAGTTTGAGGCCAGCCAGGACTATATAGTGAGATATTGTCTCAAAAAGAGAGAAAGAGAAAGAGAGAGAGAGAGAGAGAGAGAGAGAGAGAGAGAGAGAGAGAGAGAGAAAGAAAAGTAACTAATACAATCATATTTTTAAAATATTTTTCAAAGGGCCAGCCACATAGCTCAGCAGTAAAGCATTTGCCTACCATGTGCAAGGCCCTAGGTAGGTTCAATACCCAGTAGTGAAATAAAAATTATATATTTAACATTTTGAAAATACTCATCACTAAACATCTAATTTTTAAAAATTCTCCCAATCTATTCCATGCATTGAGGCAACTGTTAAAATTTCTCTTTCCTGTGTGTACTATCTTTCTGATCAGCCCCATATGTGTTTTCTTGACAAGAAAACAAAAACAAACAAAAGAAAAACCTCATTGCCTTTCATGTTTGCTCTACCAACTCTAGGGAAAAAAGAAAACAAGGTTACTTTATGATCACTACACTACCCTCTCACATCACTGCTTGCTATCACTATGAAGATGACCCAAAAAATAAACCGAAATGAAAGAGAACTGACTTGGACCATGAAACTATCCTCTAGATTAGCAGTTCTCAGACTGTGGGTCACGACCCCTTTGGGGGTCACATATCAGGCATCATCCTGCATATCAGATATTTATATTACAATTCATACAGTAACAAAACTATAGTTATGAAGTAGCAATGAAATAATTTTATGTTGGGGGGTCACCACAGCATGAGTGACTGTATTAAAGGGTCACAGCATTTGGAAGGGTGAGAACTATTGGCTATATAATCACTATATGATTAGTGCTGACTGTCAACTTGACAGGATCTAGAGCTATCTAGGAGAAAAGCCTCCAGGCACAGCTTGCTTAGGTTCACTGAGATGAGAAGACCCATCCCAGAAGTGGCCAGGACCATTCCCTGGATGTGGGTGTGGACTCTATGAAAAGGAGAAACTGACTGAGCCCCAGCACTTGTCCTTCCTCCTCTCCTAACTATTCACGTAACCAGCTGCATCAAATTCCTGCCAACATGATTTTCTTCCCATGAGGGCCCATACCTCAGAACTGTGAGCCAAAATAAAACATAGGAAGCAGGAATTTAAAAGAAGCACTTTCTACACATTCCTTACCTATTGCATGAATCGGATTCTGAGGAGAGAAGAATATCAGTACAACTAGAAGAATCCTCACGTCTCTCGGGCTCTGACTGCCCTGGGGAGTCCGGTGCTGACTGAGGAGAGTGGTTTGTAACTGAGACCGTATCCGAGAAGTTCATATTATCTTCTTGTCCTAACAGGAAATACAAACCTGTTTTAAAAATTAGGGAGGATCTTAAAATATATACCCTGTCTTTCTTTAACAGTCAATATTGCTAGTTCTACTTTAAAAATAGAAGTAAAAGAACAGTGATTCTAAAACTATAAAATAAAAAATTCACTTTATTGCTATTAATTATATTATTTATGTTTTCCAGGATTAATTCATTTTAAAAGTAAAGTTTTCTTTAAAACCAGAGATGGAAATGCCTCACCATTCTATTAGCAGATTACTAAGGAATAATTGCATACTTCAAAGTCAAAGAACAGTGACAAATTAACAAAACAGACTCAACTAATAAGGTAATCATACTATTTGTCACATGAGATCAAACATCTAAGGACACTTTTCTAAATCTGTTAAACAAACCATTCATTATAAGGAAAAGGAAAACCAATCAGACATAGGAATCTTGTCATTTGATCTGACAAGTCACATTTCTGTCTATCCTTTGTCATATTCTGTTTTCAAAGTTTCTTTTCATAAAGATAAAGACACAGGGACACCTCAGAGCAGTTTGAAAGAATATGACATACAGGCATAAGCAAATCTCTGAAAATAAAAGAGCAAAAAATATAAGCTGTGCCAGACTGTCTGTTGCCTAGGACTCTCCCTTTTACAGTGTGTGCCAACATTATGGAGATTTTCATCTGTGCTATCCTGACAATTCAGAAAATGAATGAATGAGTGAGTGAATGAATGAACAAACAAACAAATGCAACTGTTAAGATTTTGTTGGCAGAGAAAATTCATTGAATAGGACAAAGTCTTTAAAAACAAAACCACCTTCCCAGGTTTATATACTCAAGACTTTCAGAAATGACCCTCAATGTTTGTTATCCAGAAGGACAGCATTCACCACCAGTGTAAGCTCCTAATGTTACCTGAATACCAATAAACCACCATGACCAAGGCAGAGCCACACCCTCTGCCATTCATCAGGGAGAGAGGAAGAGCAATAACCAGTGACTTTCCAGAAGGTCAAGAACTTCCTCTTATAAACATATGATGAGGAGGGGAACCAATCACCCAGGAAACCCCTCCCCCCAGGCCATGCAATCACTCAACAGTCGGGGGAGAATGCAGTCAAACTGGCAGGTAAGGGAATATGAATTCAACTTAACAACAAACTTAATTTTGCGGTGACTACAGTCTTCTCCTCTTCCCCTCTTACATTAGCTTAGGGAAGATAAAATTCCATCAAAGATAAATATCATCCTACAATTTGTGAGCACTAAAAGTCAGCTCTCCTTCCTGTCTGCCCTTAAACCTTGAAATGCAGGGCTCCAAACAGCCCAAATGTGAGGCTCAAACAACAGACTTCTAAGAAAAGCAACAAAAGCAAATTAGGTCTCCTTTGAGAACCATGCATCTTGTTCATTAACAGGGCAGTTCAATGTTTACTCTAATGGCCATCAGTTACACTCACTGTTGACACTACACTAAATCCATCTTTTCAATCTGTCTTTACCTTTCACATATCTTGCCTCTTAGGCATCCCTGTTCACCCACAGTAGCCTAACAACATCAACTTCTGAAGCCAAGAGACTATACACCAAAAGTACAAGCAATAAATGAAAAAAAATAAATAAATAAGCTGAATGTAATAAAAAGATAAGCAGCCTTATACATGAAAAAAAAAGTACTATTAAGAAAGCAAAAGACTCAACAAAGGGTGTCTACAAATACTTGCAAATCACATATGCACAATGAGGGACTCATATCCACAGTAAGAAATCCCTAAAACTCAATCAAAACCCAAACAGTCCTATTAATAAGTAGGCAAAGGACTTGAATACATTCCAAAACAAAAAAACTGATGGCCAATAAGTATGTGAAAAGACACTCAACTTCATTACTTCTTGGAAAATGAAAATCAAATCATGATGATATATCACTTCACACCTTAGTAAGATGGTATAATGGCTACCGTGGTTGTCAACTTGACTACATTTGGAATCAACTAAAACCCAAGTATTGGGGCACAGTGGTGAGGTATTTTCTTGACTGGATCATCTGAGGTCAAAGATACACCCTAAATCTGGGCTACACCTTCTGGTGGCAGGTTACATTATATATAGAGAGAGAAATGCAAAGTTTTTGCTTTTTGACTGCTTGCCCTCACTCTCTCTGACAAGTTCATCAACCCTGTTGCTGAGGTACTCCTAACTAGCATTAGGATCTACTTCTTCAGGATTCCAACACAGGCTGAAGACTAGTTGAACTAGTTAGACTAAACAACTACTGAATTCTTGGCCTTTCCATCAGGAGACAGTCATTGTCAGTCTAGAGAAACCACAACCTGTAAGCCGCTAATGCCCCCCACCGTGTGTGTGTGTGTGTGTGTGTGTGTGTGTGTGTGTGTGTGTGTGTGTTTTCTATCAGTTCTGTTCCTCTGAAGAACCTGACTAATATAGATGGTCTCCACCACAAGGAAACACACATCTAGAAGATGGTTTCCACAACAAAGAAACCTATCAAGTGCTGAAAGAATGTGGAGAAATGAGAACTGGAATGCACTGCCAGTGGGGATGTAAAATGATGCAGCCATTATGCAGCACAATTTGTTGGTTTCTCAAAAGGCTGAACATGGAACTACCATGTGAACCAGGAATTCCACTTAGGCCTTTAGACACTGTCTGGTTACCTTAACTATCAATTTGACACAACCTAGAACCATATAAAGGAAAGCCCCAGTTGAGAAATTCCCTAGATTAGATTGGCCTGTGAGCATGTCTGTGAGAGGACTGTCTTAACTGTTAATTAGTGTAAGAGAACCTAGTCCACTATAGGTAGTAACATCCCTAGGTAGGCAGGCCTGAACTATATAAGAAAGCTGGCTGAGTATAAACTAGCCTGAGAGCCAGTTAGTAAGCAGTACTTTCTATGGTTGCTGCTGTACTTCGTTGACAGTCAAGTGAGTCTCTTGGTTGAATGTCATGCTGTTTGGAACAGCAAGCAGATCTACCTTCAACTTCCTGGCCCTGACATCCCTCAATAATAGACTGTGACCTGGGATTGTAAGCTAAATAAACTCTTTCCTCCCCAAACTTTCTTTTGGTCAGAGCATTTTATCACAGCAATAGAAATGAAACTAGAACAGACACATAATAAAAAAGAACTGAAAGAAGGGTCTTGAACAGACATCTGAAAACTAATGAACACAAAAACATCATTCACAATAGTCAAGAAGGCAAAAAAAATAGCTCAATAAATTAATAGAGCCGGGCGGTGGTGGCACACGCCTTTAATCCCAGCACTTGGGAAGCAGAGGCAGGCGGATCTCTGTGAGTTCGGGGCCAGCCTGGTCTCCAAGGTGAGTTCCAGGAAAGGCGCAAAGCTACACAGAGAAACCCTGTCTCGAAAAACCAAAATAATAATAATAATAATAATAATAATAATAATAATAATAATAAATTAATAGATGAAATGTTGCATACACATATAAGGAATAAAGAAATTTTAATGTTTGCTACAACACTGACAGACAATAAAAGCATTATGTTTAGAAAAAATAATCCAACACAGGAAGACAGATATTGTATAATTTTATTTGCATTAGGTACCCAAAGCAAGCAAATCCATAAACAAACAAAACAGAGATTATCAGGACTATTTGGGAGAGCAGGGGATGATGTGATACACAACATAGTTTGTACTGGGGATGCTAAAAGGGTTTGGGGTATAGATGGTTAAACAGTACTATAAAACCACTTAACAGCCATAAATTGTGCACCTATGAATTGTTAAAAATAAATATGTTATCTGTATTTTGTCACAACTAAGAAAAGTAGTAAAGAATTATTTTGTGCTCCTTTCCCCATTATGATTCAGTTTTGCTCATGGGAGAAGCCTTGGCAACAAAAAATCATTAATCTCAAATTTAAAGCTGGATCAAAACTAAGTAATGCGCTGAATTTGTTGGAATAGCAGCTGCATTAGCTTTAAACTCTTCATCATAATACTTCATCAAAGTAAACATCAGAGTTCTGCAACAAAAATAATGCTCTTTGTCTTAGGCTCTTCAGTAATATATCTCACACCATGAGAACATCCTCACACTTAAACAATTACAGAGCTTGGGATGCTTCATAACTATAAGGCAGGCAGACTTCAGGGGCTGTCCGTCTCTTCAGCACATTCTTCCACTGTTTCCAAAGCAAGCAATAAGCTACTTTATAGTCAACAACTGCTACATTAAGCTTTCTAAAAATACTTTTTCCCCATTTCAAATACTGAATAACTGCAGTAAATTCCAGTGGTTTTATATATTTTACATTAAACAAGAAGGAGGACCAACAAGATGCTCAGTGGGGAAAAGCACTTGCTATCAAGCCTAACAACCTGAGTTGGATCACTGAAACCCACAGGGTGGAAGGACAGAACCAACTCCCACAAGTTGTCCTGTGACTTTTTCACATGTGCACAAATGTATGCATGTGCATATACAAAATGAATAAATAAATGTTTTTTAAAAAAGTAATAAAATTCACTGTGCTTCTGTTTTAGAAAGTCTTACCCGTGACTGCAGACGAAAGCTTCTCTGCAGGTACATCTTTTCTCATTACTGTAGCTTTTGACATTCTGCCAGTTTTCTTGTATCCTTTTTTGGCCTGATCCACCAGAAGCTGAAATGCATTCTGATGCTTCTTACCTGAAATTCAAAAGAACTGTGAGTGGGTGAATTATCTACACATGACAAACTTTGAGCAGGCACAAAGCTGCTCAGTATCATCATTAGCAGAATCACCTGCACTGAATGCTGAAGCTGCCACGAAAAGACCACAGAGGGCTTCGGGGCAGCTGACTAATCTCTCTCTGTCTTTCCCTTCCCCCAAAGCAAACATTGATACAAGGTGTATTTAAGTGTTTACCTGGAAGTCTGAATGTTCACCACATGTGTACCCAAGGAGGCCAGAAGAGGGCATCAGATCTCTTAGAACTGGAGTTAAAAGACTGTTTGAGCTGCCATGTAGGTACTGGAAACCCAACTTGGGTCCTCTTCAAGAGCAGCAATTGCTCTTAATTGTGAGCCATCTCTTCAGCCCCTAATAACTAGATTTTAAATCTTGAAAAATATCCAATGAGATGAATAACGTCACCTGTTTCTAAAAAGCTATCCTTCAGCATGGTAAACAGCACAGAGTTAAGAAGCACATCAAGTAAAAAAGAAGCTGGATTCCTGCATTTGAACACTGGCAGGGATAGCAAGGCATTTCAGAGACTGCATCTAATTCTAATACATTTATGTGAATACAAACTCCCAGTGAAACTAATCAGAAAGCTGTACAATACCTGTAAGTCATAAAATAAAAGACTAAACTTTCAGCACAAGAAATTATAAACTGGGCATAAAGGTTACTAAAAAAAATTTAGCTCTTTAGAAATGGATGAAATTCTGTGAAAAGTGATTTTTCAAATGAAAAGATTAAACATCAGCAAAAATAAAAATGTATAAACTATCAAGATTTTAGATGCCAGGCATGGTAAAGTATGCCTTTAATCACAGTACTAGGGAGACAGGCAGGTGGATGTCTGAGTTTGAGGCCAGCCTGGTCAACATAGTGCCAGGCCAGCGAGGGCTACAAAAAAAATAAAAAATAAAAAAAAATAAAAAGAAGTTAAATAAAGATTACTAGAGAAAGCCATCTCTTTAGAAGCAGGTAAGAGAGTCTACACAGAAGGATACACAATAGATCATTTCTTTCACACCCTATTTTATTCCATGCATGTAAAGAGAATCACCTCATCTACTTCTTCAGCTCTCAGAATGCATAGTCAACACTATCATCATCATTCTGGAGCTGCTATTGGGCAAGGGTAGTTTAAGTCAAGTGTAGGCTTATTATCTAGGTTTCTTTTCCTGTGGCTGTGAAAAAATACTGACAAAAGCAACTTAGGGAAGAAGGGTTTATTCAAGACAGTTCAGGTGCCAGGAGCTTGAACCAGCTGGTCACTTCTCATTCACAACTGGGAAACAAACAAATAATGAATACTGCTAAGCTCCCTTTGAACTGTTTATAAAATCTAAGATCCAAAGGGCTGGAGAAATGGGTCAGGCTTAAGAGAAGAGGCTGCACTTCTAGAGGACCTAGGTTCAATTCCCACCACTGACATGGTGGCTATCAACTGTCTGTGACTTCAGTTCCAGAGGATCTGATGCCCACTTCTGGCCTCTGAAGATATTACACATACATGGTGCACAGACACAGATGCAGGCAAAATACTCATACACATAAAAATAAATCATTTTAAAATTTTAATTTAGTATTTAACCAGGTGCCACTCACAGTGGGCAGGTCTTCCCATCTCAATACAATCAAAATATCCCCACAGGCATTCCCAGAGGCTCATCTCCCAGGTGACTCCAGTTTTATCTAGTTGATAACCACCACAGCCATTTTCCTAGATTTTCCTTGTTTTTTTTTTTTTCCCCCTAAGCCACCAGGAAATATAGGATTGTACTTAAGATTTGTCCAAAAATCCCTTAAGTAGTCAAATTAACAGTTAGAAAGGCTTAATGACTTTACTCCTAAAGTACTAAAAGCTCAGATTCACAGTATTTAAAGTCAGATTTCTTGCTTGACAATCAAGGCTGGAAACAAAAACTAAATAGCAGCCACCACTCTGGCTCCGATTCAAGAAGTCCAAAACTGCTGCAGAGAAAATAAATGATGCCAACAGATTATGACTAATAAAATTGTTCCCACTCATCATTTCACTTATCTTAGGAGATCTGCTATTTGGCAAGGAGCACTCTAGAATCTAAAATACGAATTTGAGTTATATGTCCTGAATTTTCCTCTTACAATTTTAAGTGGTTCTGGGGGCTGCAGATGTGGCTCAGCAATGAACAGCACTGGCTGCTCTTTCAGAGGATCCATGTTTGGTTACCAGAACCCACACAGTAACTCACAACCATCTGTAATTCCAGTTGCAGAGGGTCAAACCCCTTCTTTTGACCTCTGTGGGTACCAGACATACATGTGGTGCACAGACATACACATAAAATAACTGGTTCTTAAAAAAAATTAAGTGGCTTGACTAGTTATGGGAGCTGATGAATAAGTTCATCAAAATGACTGTGACTCATTTTCTGTTCTTCTAAAACCCCCACAACCTCTTTATGGAACCTCTTAGTGAACTTCACAGGACCAAAATACATATTTATTTTAAGAGAAACTGTCCTCTTCCACGCACCACCACTTCTTGTCTGTGTACACATCCTCTATCTTCCTAGTCATTATCATGAAACAACTCTATGTGTCATAATTAAAGGACAGCCCTTAGCTTATGCTCTCGATTCATCACAAAGACCTCACATATAGAATCTTTTAAAAACCATCTATCTTAGTTATGGTTTCTATTGCTGTGAAGAGACACCATGACCGAAGCAACTCTTATAAAGGAAAATATTTAACTGGGTGGTTTACAGTTCAGAGGTTCAGTCCATTATCATCATGGTGGAGCATAGAGGTGTGCAGATAGATATAAAGCTGGAGAGGTAGCTGAAAGTTCAACATCTTGCTTCTGAGACACTAGGTATGATTTAAGCAGATATGAGACCTCAAAGCCCACCTCCACAGTGACATACTTCCTCCAATAAAACCATACCTACTCCAACAAGGCCACACCTCCTAACAGTGCCACTCCCTTTGGGAGGCATTTTCTTTCAAACTACCACACTCCACTCCCTGGCCTCCAAAGGCTTGTAGCCATATCATAATGCAAAAATGCATTCAGTCCAACTTCAAAGGTCCCCATAGGCTATCACAGTCTCAAACTTATTTAAAAGTCCAAAGTTAAAAGTCTCTTCTGAGATTCATGCAATCTCTTAACTGTAATCCCGTATAAAATAAAAAAAAAAATTTAAAAAAGATCACATACTTCCAACATATAATGGCACAGGATACACATTACCATTCCAAAACATAGAAGGGAACATAGTGAGGAAAGACTGGACCAAAGCAACACCAAAACCAGCTGGGTAAACTCCAAACTCTGCACCTCCACAACTGATGTCAAAACACTCTTCAGATCTCCAACTCCTTTCAGCGTTGTTGACTGCAGCACACTTTCTCTTGGGCTGGTTTCACTCCTTGTTAACAGCTCTCCTCAGCAGGTATCCCATGACTCTGGTATCTCTAACATCTTTGGATCATCTCCAGGGCAATTCAGGCTTCAATCTCACAACTTCACACAATGGCCTTTCTGGGCCTCCATTCAGGGACACCCCTGACACATGCATGGCCTCAGCAGTTTTCCTTAGCAGCAAAGGAATATTCCACAACTCATTTGTTGTATCCTTGACTCTAAAGCCAGAACCACATAGCTGAAGTTGCCAAGTTCTGCTGCTTGCTAAGGCTGGAACATGGACCCCTCCTTCGATCACATCTTCCCCAGTTTTCTGTTTTCAATAGTTAACTTCCCTGCCTAATCTTGGCTGCTCTGGAACTTGCTGTGTAGACCAGGCTGGCCTCAAACTCAGAGATCCACCTGCCTCTGCCTCTGGAGTGTTGGGGAGTGTACCACCACATCTGGCTCCAAGCTTTTCTTTAATTCCTTTTCATAGGTTGGAAACTTAGCTGGGTGGGATCTTGCCCTGAGGTCACCACTCCCTTTATTCCATTTCTTATTCTAGTTCCATTCTACTTCCTGGTGCTCCTTTTCTCCCCAGATTTTAAATTTTGTAATTTACCCTATTCAGCTTGCTCCTTTTCATTATAAATCTTCTTTAGAGTTACCACTAATAACCACACAACAGAGTCTATATTAAGCTGTTTTGAGACTTCTTCTGTCAATGAAATTAATCCAAAACTCTTCACTTTAGCCTTGGGACAAGGGCAAAAGGCAGTCACATTCTTCATCAAAATATCACAAGATGGTCTCTAGGCCACATACTAACATTCTTCTCTTCTGCAACCTCTTGAGCCAGGCCCCCACAGTTCAAGTCACACTCAGCACCACTGTCTTCCATGCTCCTACTAGTATGGCCTATTAAGCAGCACTTAAAGCATTCAACTGTTTTTCTAATCCACAGTCCCAAGGTCCATATTCCTCCAAACAAAAGCATAGTCAAACCTATCACAGCAATACCCCTGACCTTGGTTATCAACTTCTGTATTAGTTAGGGTTTCTGTTGCTATCAAGAGACACCATGACCAAGGCAACTCTTATAAGGAAAACATTTAATTGGGTGGCTTAACAGTTCAGAAGTTTAGTCTATTATCATCTTAGTAGGACATGGCAGTGTGCAGGCAGACAATAGTGTTAGAGGTAACTGAGCGCTCTATATCTTGTGCAGGCAAAAAGAAGTGGCTGAGACACCAGGCGTGGCCTGAGCATATATAAGACCTCAAATTCTGTTTCCACAGTGACACACTTCCTCCAACAAGGCCATACCTACTTCAACAAAGCCACACTTTCTAATAGTGCCACTCCCTTTGGCCATTTTCTTTTCAAACAACTACACTAATCATCACAGATTGGGGGGGGGGATATTTAATAGTTCAGGGACTGGATTTTCATTTCTTAATGGGGGGGAGTTTAGTAGTTCAAGGACTGGCTTTTCATTTCTTAATGAAACAGAGGGCAGAATGGACAGTACCAACAGGCACTAAAATTGATAAACAGAAATATGGTTTTGTGAAACTT